AAACACACTTGTGTTATTGTTCTTACCACTTTCTGAAGTAGTTCTGGAAGTCCTCTTTCATGAATATCTTTGCTGCCCAATGCCATCCAACAGAAAGACAGGCTTGTAAAAACATTATAATGTTTCCTCATCCACCTTCTTCATTGGATCTGGCACTATGTGACTTCTGGCTCTTTCCCATAGTGAAAATGACCATGAAAAGTCATGATGGGAGCCACAGCAGTATAACTAAATACACTCATGAAAGAGGCCTTGCAGAAGTGCCTCAGAAAACGGTGAGAATGTGCAATAAGTGTGTTCAAAGAAAGGGGGAATATTTTGACTAAGATTAAGATTAACAATGCGCCTTTTACTGTAATAATTTTTTTTAATTTAAACATTCATTGTATTTTCCAATCACACTGAATACAATTCAGGTTCATGAATCAAAGGATCCCTAACAAGCTTGACCAGGAAAATACTCCAAAGCATATAATTAAATGTTCAAAAGTTAACAACAATGATAATCTTGAAAAAAAGCAAGATAAAAGAGACTCGTCACACACAAAGGAACCACCATAAGGATATTATTAGATTGCAAACCAGTAGGGAGCTGGATAATATAATTAAGGTGCTGAAGGAAAATAATCTGCAACCAAGAATATTATACCCAGTAAAGCTGTCCCTTAGAAATGAAAAAATAAAGACATTCCTCAGAAAATATTTAAGTATTTTCATTACTACAAGACCTACCTTGCAAGAAATGGTAAAGGGGATTCAAGTTGAAACAAAAAGATGCTGAATGACATAAAATATGTGAAAGTAAAAAATGTACTGATAAAGCCAAGCTTGGTGGCACATGCCTACAATTCCAGCTGTCCTGGAGCCTGAGGCAGAAGGATTGCAAATTCAAGACCAGTGTGAGAAACTTGGTGATTTAAAAAGAACTTTAAAATCGGTCCTGGGGGGGCAGCTGGGGACATAGCTCAGTGTGCAGCCCCTGGCTTCAAGGTTCAATGGTTCAATTCCCAGAACCACACACAAAAAAATACTGGTAAAAGTATAGGCAAACAATATTTTAAACCAGTGGCTGCAAACCTATAGATTGTTTGTTATTGTGCTTATCTTTTAAGATAAAAGTTGTTAATGCATGAGTTGTTTTTTCTAAACTAAAACCTTGGTTTTCAGGTTTCATTGCAATGTTGGCACTTTGTGATGAATAAGTGGGTTTTGGGTTACAGTTTGGACACTTGTTTCTAAAAGGTTCACTATCACTGTTCTAAATGGTAATGGTGTAATGGTCCTGGGTAAATCATTTTGATTTTTGTATAATGTCAAAAGACAGAAGTATTTAAAAACTATAGCAAAAATATGACAGAGTAAGACGTTAATAAATAATATAAAATTTTTATATGAAGAGAAGTATGGAATTTTTCTATGTGATTAATTTTAAGGGATTATCAGTGTAAATTAGAATGTTAGATGATTTTATTCAAAAATTATGGTAATCTTCAGTAGACAGAAGATAAAGGAAAAAGCATCAAAGAACATCATTAGAAAAAGTCAACCAATTACAAAAGAATATAGCAAGATTAGAAAAAAGGAGAAAATAAACTATAAAATTACAAGTAAACAATGAAAATCCATTAGCTAATGAATAGAAAATATTGTAATATAGAATAGAACACTATTCAGTAATTCCATGTAACTGGTGCATGTGAAGAAATTATAAAATATAGAATTTATGATAAGTAATTGTAGTCCTGTACATAAAAGTCTATATTGCATGATTCTAATTATGAGAATTTCTTTTAAAAAGCAAAGCTAAGGTGACAGAAAACCTTAGTTGCATTGGCTAGTGCTAGCACTGGGGAATTTAATGCAAAAGGGCACAAGGAAACTTTATGGGATAATGGAAACATTCTGTATAGCAATTGCTGTTTTATAGCTCTAAATATTTTCAGAATTCATCAAACAGCATTCTTAAAAAGGACATTTTATTGTATAAAATTATTTTCAAAAAAATTGAAATGACCCATGGTATGATTAAAAGGCTGGCTGTTCTTTACCTATTTGCCTTTGTTCCAATATCCTTGGTATCCTGAGGGTGGCTGGGCTGTTTCTTTTCTTAACTCAGTGTAGTTGGAAAAGAGCCCAAATACCCTGAAAGAAGCATGCAATCACCAAAACTTCCTACCTGCTAGCTTGAGAGGGATTGATGAATGGGGAAAGAAGGTTTGAACTGAAGGTTAGTTTGATTATTTGGTGAAAAAAAAGAAAAGAATGCTTAAGACAGATTACCTGTCTCTGTGATACAGCTGACAAAGAAGTTGAGCAGGCAGGGGATCTGGATTCAAGTTTTTGATAGTAAGCATTCTATTTGGTCTGAAATTATGTGAAGTGCCATCCCTGAGAGCAATAAGTTGCCTTTGTATGAGAAAGAAAGGACCACTCAAAAGCATGCTGGTTCAACATCTTTTCTTCTTGGGAATTCATAACAAGAAGTATTATTTTTTTTCTGTAACAGACAAAGTCACATTTTGTGAATACTTGAAGGTAAAGCTCTAGCAGGGGTGTTAAAAGAACACAGACATATATACTCATATTCTATGTCTGTAGTCTAAATTGATGAATAGGATTAAGGGAAATAATGTCTGCCTTGATTATTGAAAACCCAGATCTGATGGCTTTTATTTTCTGTTGTAAAAAACCATTACTTATTTACTTTTTACTTTTTATTTTCACTGGTGCATATTTGTAGAACATGATGATTGCAGTCATCCTAGGGAGTTAGTTCATGTACATAACACATCTTATTCTCATCTCCCCTCCTCTGTCTTTTGGTATTTATTTTTAATTGACAAATAACAATTGGACATATTATGTGCTACAAATATGATGGTTTGATTTATGCATACATTGTAGAATGATTTAGATAATGTAATTAATTTATCCAACACCTCATTAACATTTTTTTGTAGTGAGAACATGAAGAACTTATTATTTCAGTGATTTTGAAACACTCAACATTTATTAACAGGCAATTTGTGAGGATGTGGAATAATACATGATCAGTGCTCCATAGGATTTAGTTTACGCTTTGAATTCAAAATAATGAAACTTAAATGTAAAGGAGAAAAATTAATTTTCCAAGCTTATGAAAGTAGCTATTCAAAAAATTGAATATCATCAGTATCGGAAGGAAGATTTTTTTCTCCTAAGTCCAGCATTCTTTTGTTAACATCAGCACTTACCAACTCTGAGTATTCTTTATGGCCATACCTAAGTCTTAATTAGATCATTTTAGATTAAGCAATAAACTATAATTCCTACATCAAATGTTTGCTGTAAAGTTTAAAATTAAAGCCTCATATATAAAAAGTAATCAAATTGCCTAAAAAGACTATTCTACTGAGGTTAGAAATTTGGGCTTTTTTTGAAAATTAAGAAGTTCTGGGTCAGGGATTTAGCTCTGCAGCTCCCCACCTGCCTGGCAAGTGCAAGGTCCTGAGTTTGATCCCCGGAACAAAATAAAATAAAATAAAATAAAATTTTAAAACATTAAGAAATGTCTTGCAGTCCTCTATGAACTGTTTTCTCATCCAAGGATCTGACTCATTGTGGCAAGAGGTATTGAGTGATTAGTTCTCAGGCTCTGATGCAGACTTATCCAAGGTTACAAGTTTCTTACTCTCTGTCTCTAATTTATTACTTTGCAAGTGTACAGTTTCAATGCTTTTCATTGTTTGCAAAATTGCAAAATTCTATAGATTTCACTAATTCTAGAACATTTTTATCATCCTCCAAAGAAAACCCACACTCATTAACAGCCACTTCTCATAATCCTTTTTGGGGGGGTACTGGAGATCGAACTCAGGATGTTGCACTTGCCAAGCAGGTGTGGTGCCACTAAGCTTAATTCCCCCCACAACACATCACCATGATCCTTCTTGCCTTGCCCTTAGCTCCAGAAAACCACTGATTCATTTTCTGTCCCTACAGATTTGATTCTGGATATTTCATATAAATAATATACAATATGTGTGTTTGTGTGTGTGAGTTTTCTCACTTGGCATGCTTTCAAGTACAGTTATGTTGCACCATATTTATTTATGGCTATACCATATTTTGTGTATTTTTTCATGTGTTGATAGATGTTTGGGCTGTTTTCACTTTACTATTATGAATAATGCAGTTATGAATGGTTGTGTACAAATTTTTGTATATGTATATTTTCTCTTGGGCAAACATGGAAGTAAATGTGTTGGTGAAAATGTAAATAAGGACCAAAATGTACAATAGATATTGGGAAATAAGAAAGGGATGTTCAAATGGGAAGGGGAACAAGGGAGAGGAATGGGAGAAAGGAAGAAAGGGACAAGGGAAAAAAGAGAATAAAAAGAAGAAATGGAAGCAAAACTTTTATAAATAAGGTGGGGAAGAAGTGTCGAGGGGAGGGGGTGGCATGGGGAAAAAAAGCAGAAGCAAGATAAATCAGGTACAGGTACAAATTCTCTATGATGAATGTTATCAGTATGTATATCTAAAATGTACCAATAAAATTTTAAAAATGAAAAAACCCAAAATAACAAGAACAAAAAAGTAAATGTGTTAGGTCCCATGATAAACTACATTTTCCAGACATAACCGGGCTTTTCCAAAGGAGCAGTACAATTTCATATTCTCATTAGCAGCATATGAGTGTTTTCCTTGCTCCACATACTCATTGACACTTGATGTTATCTGTCTTTTTTATCATAACAATTCTAGTGGGTGTCAAGTGGCATCTTACTGGAACTTTTATTTTAACTTGTTGCACATTTCTTGACTATTAATGTAAGGGCCTCAATTCCATTTAGTGAAAAAGAATAGTGTATGTTCACATACACACAAGAGAGCAGTGTTAAAGTACTGGATGTCAATGGAATCATAAAGGTGAGACTGAGGGAGAAAGTGTGTAGTAATCATTTTCTTATTCAATGTTGAAGAAATTCTGTTTTTTAACTACTGAAATTCCCATCTCAGTGGGGGACACTTCTATTGCAAAACATGGTCTTTTTGAGAGCTTCTTTTACTTCCCGGTTCCTCAGACAGTAAATAATTGGGTTTAAGAGTGGAACAATGACAGTGTAGAGAACAGATACTACTTTGTTGGAATTGTAGGCATACATGAGCTTGGGGCGGGCATAAGTGAAAAGAGTTGTGGAATAAAAGAGAATTACAACTGTCAGGTGAGAAGCACAGGTGGAGAATGCTTTTTGACGACCCTGAGCAGAGGGAATCTTGAGTATGGTGATGAGGATGGTGGCATAAGATGCCACCACTACACAAAGGGGAACAGCAATGACCATGAGGGCCAAGAAGAAATCAACCAGTTCAGCCTGTGAGGAATCCTCACAGGAAACATTGAGGAGTGGAGAGATATCACAAAAGTAGTGATTGATATGAGGTGTGCCACAATAGTGGAGTCTGGCTATGTAAACTATCTTAATCATGGCAGTCATGAGTCCACAGGACCAACATCCCCCGGCCAGTGTACCACAGAGCTGGTTGGTCATGATGACTGGATAGCGGAGTGGATTACAAATGGCTACATAACGGTCAAAGGCCATGATGGCAAGAAGTATGTACTCGGTGCAAACAAAGGTGACAAAGAAATAAAGCTGAGTCATGCAGCCATTGAAGGAAATGCTCTTGTCACTGCTAAGGAAATCTACCAGCATCTTGGGACAAATGGCTGTGACATACCACATCTCCAGGAAAGAGAGGTGGCTCAGGAAGAAGTACATGGGCTTGTGCAGCTGCCCATCACTGCGGATGGCTAGGATGATGAGAAGGTTCTCTAGCAGTGTCAGCAGATAGGTAGCCAGGAAAATGGAGAAGAGGAGAAGCTGGAAGGCAGGTAGTGTTGGAAATCCCAGCAGAACAAAATATGCTGTTTCTGTATGATTACCTACTTCCAGTCCCATGGTGGTCATGGCAGGCTGTGGATACACACAAAGTTAGTTCCTTCCATGTCCCAATCACCAGCCTATGGTTCTTTATATTGATAACCTACCACCAGCAAATTCACCACAATAGGTCATTCCTGCTTTATATTTTTACCTTTTCTTGAATTACGATGAGAAACAAAACTTTTGAGCAAAGGTGAACTACAGGGAGTTTTTTTTTTTTTTTTCCTAAATTAGTTCCAGAGGAATAACTTGTCCAAGCCCTAACAGAAGAGAAAGTAGGGATGCCTCATTCTGAAGTCTGTTCTTTGCCATTATATCACTGTGAGGAGTAGAAAGGTAGCCTCCATACTATCTTCTCATTACAGGCAAAGCATCCCCACTTACTGCATGTAGAAAGGAGGCAGAAAACAAAATTTCTTCTTATCTATTTGATTCTGGAGTGCTTGCATAATCCCACTTACCTGTAAAGTGAAGATAGTCCTTCTGTTTTGAGTTTTTTTCTATTAAAATTGCAAAGCTTCAGTGAAGCAATACACACTCATATGATTAATGACAAAAACTAGTTTAGTGTACTATTCACCAAATTTTCTGAAAACAGAATTGAATGAATAATTTGAAGGGTAGTGCTTTCTATGATCCAATCCATTGTTTAGAATACTTGATAAGAAGTTTGAAAAGAGAACATTCAAATCCCACTCTTGCCTTTTCCTGGCTGAGTGAACATAATTACATAAACTTTCAAAACATTAGTTTATTTGTAATAATATGGTGGTGCTTATACTTTGTAAACATGAAATATCCTTTAAAATTTTCATTAAGTTCCTATGAGTATTTGCTGCTAGCTTTGCAGGCTAAACTACTTATGCATACAAACCCCACAGTCTCCTCCTTAGGGATTTTCCTAATCCAAAACAACAAAATACTGAATGCTGCAAACAGAAGTTTTTATTAAGAAAGTAGGAAGGGATTGTAAGACTTTTTCAAAGGTGTTTGATTAAAAATTCATAATCTGTAGGCAAGCAATGCCAAAAAAATCCATCCAATGAGTGACCCTTCTGCGTTCCATTCCAGAGACTCAGCAAAATGTGTGGTCTCTTTCTAGGATGGGCTGAGAATCATTCTGGAGCCTCCGGGCATTAATATCTTACCATTTCCAGCCTTTCTCTGTATCCTACTGCCTAATTCCTCTTCTGCTCCTCTCCAGAGCCAACATCACTCTTGTTCTCCATTTCTCAACAGACTTACTTTGGGTTACAAATATGTAGGACCACTGGGGTAGAGATTTTAGTTCCAAGAAACTGGTGAGAGAGAAAACATGGCGGAAAAAAATATTATCCATTCCATCCATTTCCCTCTCCCCACTTAGATTTGAACATTAGGACCCTAAAGAAAAGCAGAATTATTAATTCCTAATTATCTACATTTAGGGATAGTAATAGATACATATAGTAAAACAAAAAACAATAAAACTACAATAGAGCAAATTCAACACACAGTTTTGTTTGCTGTTGGAATTCAATCTTTTTATACACACACACACACACACACACACACACACACACACACTGACACAAAATTTGACCTCCTCAGTTACAGCCCAGTATTCATTGGTGGAAGAGTATGGCAGGCGGCCTATAAACAAAGGAAGTTTATGGATCCTCCTGAGTTTCTCCTGTATCCTGCTTCTTTTAACCTGTGAGTCTGACAATTCAAATCAATTTGAAATTTGTGAAAATTTTAGACCAATCTCTATTCTTGCTATCTCTTACCACACTCCATCCAAATTAATATGTTTTGGATAACAGATAACTGACAGTGCTACTGTCTGGGAAGTAGTCTCTTAATATATACAAATAGGATACAAGTCACCAGAGAAATGCTAGTGGGCTCAATCGCTGGATGCTTTGTTTTCCAGAAAACCACAGGCAAGAAATTAGAATCCAATATCCCCTCTTCTTGTAATTAATCCCATATCCCTTAAGAGAACCCTAGCTTGAAATTTTAGTTCTGATAAGGACTCTAGAAAAGAATGCAATATATTCTAAGTGCTTTAACAATAAATATTATCATTCTCAGAAAATATGCTTTGGATTTGATGTGGAAATTTTTTTTTAAAAATCAATTTTAAAAGTAATTATTAGTGAATAAATTGGGGATATTTTTCACAAAAATTAAATATTCATTCATTCTTCCTTTTTTCCCAAGAGAAACATAAAAGTCCATAGATATTTAACACAAAATAAAGGGACAAAAAATAAAAGGTAACACAGACTATTATATCAAGAACATGTGATTGAACAGTTTTATCATTTGAACTTGGAACTTAGCTTTGACCTTCTAGTAGTCAAGTAAAATAGGCAAACAACTGGAAATGTGGCATGATCACATTTGATTCTCTAATGTCATCTATTAAACATATATACATTATTTTCCACATAACTATATGTATATGATTATATTTTGACAAATAGGAAAGTAGATGTACAAGTAAGTAGAGAGCTTTAACAACAGACACATATAATGTGAATATAGTGAAAGCTCTAAGTTCCTTAGCTTCAGGGCTGTACTGTCTGAGTCACCTCCTAGTGGCCTCCCATGTGCTTGGACAGTCTGCCTGGCAGGTGTGTCAGGAAGACAGCCAGGCTCACATCACCTGCTCCCATAGCCTTTCTCCAACATCTGGGTCTTGAGAAGTAGTGCTAAACAAGGGGGGCAGCCTCTTCCCTGCCAGGTGGTGCCTCATGTTCATGTCTGAAACATATTTGCATTGTTTCATCGAATCTTCATGGACAGGGACTTAGCTAGGATGGATGCCATGGTACCTACTTGATGCAGAGACATTAAATATTTAGCTCTGGGTCACATAGCTAGTTATTTAATGACAAAGAAGTGAGAAAATAGTAGATGTTGGTCAGAGGCTGATGTTTCAGTGCTGGATCCTAAATAGCAAGGCTTTTTTTTTAAAAGGGTTCAACACACTCTGACTCCTCCAACTCATTTTTAAAGAGATACAATTCTAGTCCATCTCCCTTTGCCCAGGACTTCTTAGGAACAGTTATACTTAGGGATATATACATAGCATCTTCAAAGCTTGCCAGGATAGAGTTGCTCACCGTCCTACAGTGAGCTCCTCAGAACTTTTCAGTTTCTAGTGTGAACTGGGTTTGAAAATTTTTAGAAAAAAGCAAACAAACTGTATTGAATATCCCTGGTTCTCCATGTTGTGTAACTTTCCCAAACCGTAGCGTATGTTTAAAATAATTTTCTTCTTGTCTAGAAAAAAAGTGGCTTAAATTCTTCTGGTATCATTTTGAGCAAAATTAATTTTTTCACTTTATTTTTTCACTTATATCTTCTAAAGAATCAACACAGTGGAAAAGGATTCTTACCTTTTTCCTCTTTGGTGTGATGGATGTCAGTGAAATAGTCCTTTATGTTCTAAGCAGGTATAATTCATTAAACTTATTCAGAAATCATCCCATTTGTCAGCAACTTCCCTTGTTTAACATAAAACTGCTCACATACTCATACCCATTCCTCATATGTCAGTATTCATTCATGCATGCACTATTCTTTCCTGTGCTCTTACAGTAATTTTATCATCTCTTCCCTTCGTTCTTTTCTGTGTTTGAAATTAGAGTAGACTTGAACTCTGCATTTTGAAAGGTAGAGAATTTACCTGATATATTAAATTGAGGCATCTTCAGGAGAATAGGGCACTATTCAACTTTCACAGACTCTTTCATCTAGAGTAGGATCTCACAATAGAACCTTAAAATGTCATGGGACTCTGTATCACACAAAACATCTGAATCCTTAATATTTTTTCAGAAGGTTGATATACCTAGTTTCTAAATAGAGCTCTGTTGAATAGAAATGAACCTATAACCAAGTTTCCTTTCTGCCTACACCCTGTTGTAACGTCACTCCTTGTAGCCTCTCAAAAGATAGACTGTATTTAACAGCCTATGAAATTAAAATTTTGATGAATCAGTAATTTAAGCAAAAACATTTTTCAACTGTTCCCCACTTCCCTTCAAAATAATAAATAATTAAAAACTGGCCAAATTCTTCTTTTGGAAATACCCAAGAATCTTTTGTCTTCTCGCCATTTTCTCAATAATGTAACTCTTTTCCCAGCAGTGTCAGGAATAGTCAGCTTTACTGAGAAAGAAGAAATCATAGAGATGGAGGGGAGGAGGACAATGTCACTCAGCCTGGAGGGCTGCTAGGCAAGTCTGATGTGTGTCTCAGCTGAGTTTGAAGAAGGCAGCACTTGGAATTATTAGTGCTTCTGCCGGCCTCCAAGCACTGGAAGAGCATAAATCAACTCCCTTTCACCTAGAGGAAACTCTCAAGAGGCACAGCCTTCAAGAAAGTATTTGACCTTTCCAAGGTTCAAGGACATCCTGAGGGGATTCTAGGGGAAGAGAAAGCAAATTAAGTGGAATCTTACTACATCCTGCCTTTTCTGAATGTGTTTGTACACTTCTGAATATGTGCTATTTTTAATAAAATATGTGTTACAAGAGGGACTTTAGAATGATTGGAAGTACAGGGCCCCTCTGTCCCAAGCTAACGTGTGCATGTGTGTGTGTGTGTATGTTTGTGTATTTGTGTCTTTTGGGGGAACAGTCTTACAAATAATAAAGTCCTCTTGGGAGAAGGAGTACTGTAACTCCTGCCATTCAGAAAAGAAGAACAGTATTTAGCCTTCTTTATTTGGAGGTCCAAGTGTACAAATACATGTGGATAGGCAGACTTACAACACTCAGACAATGTGCTTCAAGTATTAGCTTTATACACAGACATGACTCACATGCATCAGTAACTCATTTGATGAGAATAAAAAATAGACTTCATTCAGATGATATCTGTATTTTCAAAAAAATTAAGAATATATTTTATTAAAAATTGCACACTTTCAGAATCATACAAAGATATTCAGAAAAGGCAGAATGTAATAAGACTGTAGAAAATACACTGCCAGAGAATTCAGTAATTATGCCTCTTGGTACATATGT